CAGGCTGGTCTCGAACTCACAGTGATCCTCCTGCCTCAGCCTCCTGAGCGCTGGGATTACAGGTGTGTGCCACCAAGCCTGGCAAAAAACCTGTGTTTTTTTCAAAATGGAATATGGGTGTGACTCAGTAGCTGTACCTGGGGGAAAGCAAAAATTCATGTGTACCTTCACCTGTTTGGCAGATGAATGGCAAGGTGTGTACAGTAGCTCCAAAGCAGCAATAGTTGAATTTTACTTATGAAATGCTCATTGCTAAATTTCTGTGCATTTAGGATTTTTTTTTTTTAAGTTTTCTTTTGAATTTTTTCTGGTGGTGATTTTCTAGTACAATTCAGTGCAATGGCACATGAAAATCCAGATTTGCAAATTTTAGAGATGGTCAAAAGTGAATCATCCATCAGGTTACATCTGCATGGATGATGAAGATGATAATGACTTTGACATTGGCCATATGAGCTAAAGTTCCTGTGACATTGAAATGGAGCAAAAATTGACTGATACAGACAACAGGGAATGCAGACTTCCTTGATTCAAATGATGAACAAAACCCAGGAGTGTGAGTGCATATTTGACAAGTTTAAAAGTTGCAAAATGGTCAGAAAATAATATGAAATGACCCAGTCTTAGAACTAGGTCTGAAAATATAATGAAGATCTTGGCACAGGTGAAACTTACTGGACAGAATACTAGCACTGCCATTCAGCATTGGAATTTGTAACAGATGAAATGCTACAAGATGTTGTGCAATACACAAAGGCTGAAATACAAGTAAAATGTTCGGTATGGACCAATTGCCATATTAAAAAATGTATTTATTATCACACCTCACTACCTGAACTGAAAGCATTCATAGGTCTGCAGTACTTAACAGGGATTTCTCCTGGTAATCTTAGGAATGTGAAAGACATGGAAAAGCAGTGGGTCAAAATATGGCCTTAAAATTTATGCCTTGAAAATGTGAAGCCTTATTATGCTTTCATGTTAGAAATTTATCCTGGAACTCAGCCATCAGGTTCTTATTCATATAATAAGCCAAATGATGTTGTGAACAGACTTATTGCTCCTATCTCCCAAAGTAATCGTAGTGTGACATTCAACAGTTGGTTTGCCAGTTTCCAATCGATGTTACATTTGTTAACAGAGCACAAGTTGACCAGCATAGGAACTGTACACAGGAACAAAGCAGAAATTCCAAATGAAATGTTGCAATTTAAAAACAGAATTGTATAGAACAATCTTTGGATTTCAGAAAGATTTGCATTGGCTTTGTATGTGGCAAAGAAAAACAAACTAATACTGCTGATGTCAACATTGCATTATGTGGAAATATTGTTAGGAAAACCATGACAAAATAGAAGCCTGATGTGGAATCTTTGAACAATAAAATCAAAGGTGAAATAGATGTTGTTGTTGAGTTATGCAGCAACTGTGATGTCACTTGAAGCAGAAAGCATTGGCCACTATCTGTGTTTTTCTCAGTCCTAAACACGTGTGGCACAAAGAAAAAACAAAATACCATGGAGAAATTTTCTTAGATGATTGGGACTCATAAGAGAATATGTACAGCAGAGGAAAAACAAAATGTTTCTGTCCAGGGAACCTATGCAAAAAAATTATGGAGCACATTGTGAGCTGACAGGTAAATAAGCTGATGCAGCATCATAAAGACCTTCTATGACAACAGTAAAACCAGAAAGATGCGCGCTGTGACCTACAAGAAAGGACAGAAAAATTATTAATAATGTGCTATCAGTGTGAGTGATACTTGTGTATGAAACATGCAGTTTTCATGTGTGAAAACTGCATTGGATGTGACAATTGAAGCAAAGATTATTTCTTTGTAGACTTTTGTGTGTATTGACATTGTGGTTCACCTAGGTTTCTATTGCTCATTTTATCTTTTAGGTTTCATAAGCAAGTAAACAGTGGATGTGAAAATGTTGATTTTTCTTCTAAGCACTTATTACATAGCTTTTTTTTGAGACAGGGTCTCACTATGTAGTTGAGACTGACCTGGAACTCACTATGTAGCCCAGGCTGATCTCGAATTCACAGTGATCCTCCTGGCTCAGCCTCCCGAGTTCTGGGATTACAGGCATGCACCCATCACGCCTGGCCAGTTATTACATAGTTGATATTTTATTGATACCTTATTTCCCTCCAAAATGTATGTTTTGCAGTGTAGTAGGAAGCTCCTAATAAAACAGGAAGTGAAAAGATCTGACAAGAATGGCCAGCCACATATGAAAAGAAAGCTGTGCACATGTGCTGTCAGTATAAGTGAAGCATGTGCATGCAGTAGGCAGTTGTCATGTGTGAAGACTGCCTTGAGTGTAACAGTTGAAGCAAAAATTATTTTTTTTTGTAGATCTCTATTGGTATTTTCACTATAGTTCATACAGGAATTTCTTTCTTTTCTTTTAAAATTAACTTTATTGGTACATTTAATGTATGCAATATAATGACATTCATTGTTAGAAATTTATACCTTTACATAATTAATCTTGGTTCTTAATTTTTTTTCCCCATTCCCTGTTTGGTCCAAGTGATGGCTATGCTGATGTGTGTCTGTGAAAATTCACCAAGTTGTACAATTACGATTTTAGCTGTTGTGTGTATGTATATATATATATATATATGTCATATTTCTATTAAAATTATATATTTCAAAACTCCAAAGCTGATCTATTTTGTTTCTCTAATATTTCTCCTATTTTTTGTTCTATGCTCCAACTTCCTTTTCTTGTTCTCCTAAAACAATTCAGTAAGAGAATTGTTCTGTTTTATAAATCTTATAATTCAGAGAAGAGGCCCATTTTCTTTTTTTTTTCTTTTATTGAGTTTTTGGTACATTTTAGGTATACAGTACAATTACATTCATTATTGGGATCTTGTACCTTTACATGACAGGTCTTGGTTCTCATTTTTTCCCCTTGTCCGTGCCCTCCCTTCACTCCCCCTCTCCCCTCCCCATTTACAAACACTTTATTTCCATTTTTTTCATTTTGTCATATTTTTTTCTTTTCCCTTATTATCTTTCCCCTACCCTTCCCATTTTCCCTACACCTTTAGCCCTTTTCTTCCTATTTCACATGGCCAATTATATCATTAGGATCTTATGTACTATTATAGTTTTTCACACCAGAGAAACTATTTGGTGTTTACACATGTGTGACTTATTTATTTCACTTAGGAGTATATCCTCAATATGTATCCATTTTCCTATGAATGAATCTAATTTCTCATTCTTTATGGCTGAGTAGTATTCCATTTTATAGAAAAACCACACCTTCTTTATCCAATTTCCAACTGATGGGCAAATGGGCTGTTTCCAAGATTTAGCTATTACAAATTGTGCTGCTATAAACATGGATGAGCATGTATCATTGTGGTATGATTCCTTTAATTCTTTTGGAAAGATACCCAGCAGAGGGATGTCTGGGTCAAATGGAACCTCTAGTCCTAGCTTTTGAGGTATCTCCATATTGATTTTCATAGTGGTTACACCAGTCTGCACTCCCACCAACAATGGAGAAGGGTTCCTTTGTCCCCACAAACCCGCCAATATTTGTTATTGGGTGATTTCTTGATAGCAGCCATTCTTTGTGGGGTGAGGTGGAATCTCAGTGTTGTTTTCATCTGCATCTCTCGAATGACCAGTGATGTGGAACATTTTTTCATATATTTACTTGCTGTTTTTACTTCTTTGTTTGAGAAATGTCTGTTCATTTCAGATGCTCATTTTTGAATCGGGTCTTTATATTTTGGGGGGCTGATACTTTTGAGTTCTTTATATATTCTAGATAATAGTCCTTTGTCTGAGGAGCAGCTGGTAAATATTTTTTCCCACCTTGTAGGTTGTCTTTTAGTTCTGGTGATGGTTTCTTTTGCAGTGCAGAAGCTTTTTAATAAGATGAGATCCCAGTTGTTGATTCTTTCTGCTAATTCCCATGCTGAGGATTTGTTCATAAAGTCTTTTCCTATGTCAATGTCTTCAAGAGTTCTGCCTAACTTATCTTCCAGCAAGTTTAGTGTTTCTGTTTTAATATTTAGATCTTTAATCCATTTGGATTTTAATTTAGTGCATGGCGAAAGATAAGGGTCTAGTTTTAATCTGTGGCAGGTTGACATCCAGTTTTTCCAACACCATTTATTAAAGAGGCTATCTTTCCTCCAGGAGGTTCATTTTCTTAATAGGAATTTTGCAGTGTTTTAAGACATGTGAATAAGGCTTTCTCT